TCTGTGAGCGCGATCGGTGCGGCTCTCGGGGGTCTGCAGCCCGGACGGCAGACGTCTGGCTTGGTGTGCTCGTCTTCTTAAGCTGTGTGTTAACACCCTCTTAAACCCCTTAGAGAAAGTAATGCCTGGCTCTGGAATTATTGCACGTCCTGTCAGAAGCTTTGTAAAGCTCACGTTGTGGTGGGGATGCTGTGGTTCAGAGACCACCCTGGGGAAGCAGGGCTCTCCTCCTCCCCCTGTCGTGTCCCAGGCTGATAAGAATGGTCCAGAACGGGCAGAAAGAGGGCGCGAACCATCAGTATTTAATCTTTTGTGTCAAAGCCGAGGGGGAGACCCTCGGATCTGTGGTTGGAGTTCTGTTTCCCAGTTCTGATGCTCTGCTCACCACCCTCCTTTCTAGGCCGATGGATGGGAGCTCTTACTCCGCTTGATGGGCGCAGTGTCTGGCCCTGTGCTCTGGGCCACACCTCCTCCGTCTCCCTCTCTCCCCTGGACTCCACGGCCCCCCGAGTGAACCCTCCCAATTCACGGCTGCATCCTGTGCTGTGGGGCCAAGTTGAAACTCCTCAGCCCTCAGGTCCCTTCATTCCAGCCCCGCCTCTGGCAGCTGTGTGATGCTGGGGGCAGACCTGAGGGTCCAGGGTGTTCCCTTCTGGGCTTGGGGCTGCTGATACCTCCGCCAGGAGAACATGGGGAGCAGGTGATGGATTTGACGCACTTTCTTCGCTGGGTTGGCGGGCACATGGTGAGCACCTTGAGTTTGCTGTCAGCACGGCTTAATCCTCCTCCTTCTGCTCTTACCGCTTCTGGGAGGACCTCTTAGCCAGCATCAGATCCTCCACTTTGCTCTGTGCTTGCCGGAAATCATGGGGACTGACAAGGAAAACAAACTCACCTCCAGGGAGGGCGGGAATCTCTGGCAGAGCCCAAGCCAGTGCCTCTTGGGTGCCAGGACTTTGATGGTACAGAGGATCACTAGCTGGCCCCTCAAAGGTCACCAGGTCTGCCCACCGCTTCATCACAGCGTCAGGGGCTGCTCTGAAACTTTTATCCTTTGAAAAATGTTATCCTGATTGGAAGAACCCTAACCCATGGCCACTTTGGCCTTTGTTAGTGTTTAAACATTCAGAAGCACCAGTGTGGCTCCTGGCCGTCACCTTCCTCGGACCAGGCTGTCCTTCTTGGTCAAGGTCACCCACGGTTTTCCCCCTTCTGTGTACATCCCTTCATGTGTGACCTGTGACAGCATTTGGCTATTCTCCACCACGAGCCCAGCCTGTTGGATCTTTGTCCACAGCAAAAAGCATCATTTCATTTGGGCAATTGCATTTGGAAACCGTCCCGGTCACGGTTTGGGGGGCAGAGGTTCGCAAGTGGCGGGTGAATGGCTCTCAGAGACCAGGCACCCCTCGATTCACCTCTAAATGACTCCTGGCAGGTTCTGTTTACTGAGAGTCTTTGAAATGCATCATGAAAGCATTGAGGATGACATGGAATGTGCTTCTTTTGCAATGAAAGACGTGCTCAGAAGCAGGGATTTCTTTCAGAACATCCTGCTTTCCTGCTGAAAGCACAGGGCTCTGTGTCTCCAGCTCGGTATCCGGAATGGGGTGATGCAGGGGGCTCCCGCAGCATGATGACCCCCCGAAGGCTTTGTCAGTTCCCCTCCCCCCCCCTCTTCCTCCTGGCTTTTTCCTGGAGAAAGTCAAGAATGAGCTGAATTTAAGTCTCAGCTGAGGTCTGTGAACCAGCGGAGGAGGTGATCTGAACAGATAGGTAATTCAGCCTGTGTTGTTGATGGTTCTTCCCTTGGCCTCCAGACAGCTCCCTCTAATGACGCGTATTTCACACAGTGTAATATTTACCGTTCTTTCAAGCTTTGTGTGTTTCAAGCCTCTTACTCCTGTAACATCTTACACAACAACCACTGCCATCAGCTCCGCTTCCCAGGGCCCAGGACAGATTTGGAGAGCAAGTTACTCTCTGACATAGAATTCTCTTGCCATGTTTTTTTGTTTGTTCATTTGTTTTCAGTTTTGTCTGAGTCCTTTTTATTTATTTCTAAAAAAATGTAAAATTTTTATTGGAGTCTAGTTGTTTTACAGTGTTGTGTTACTCTGTGCTGCACACAGCAAAGTGAACCAACTATATTAAGTGTATATTTATATATAATATTTATATATCTGTTTCTTTTCGGGTTTCCTTCCCGTTTACGTCATCACAGAGCCCTGAGTAGAGCTCCCTGTGCTATCCGGTAGGTTCTCGTTACTTATCTGTTTTATACATAGTTGTGAATACTATATATACGTCAGTCCCATCTCCCAGTTCATCCCATCCGCTTTTCCGCCTGGGTGTCTGTGCTGTTCTCTGCGTCTGTGTCTGTATTTCCGCTTTTTGCAAATAAGATCCTCTCCACCATTTTTCTGCGGGCTTCCCTGGTGGCTCAGTGGTGGAGAATCCACCTGCCAGTGCAGGAGATGCCAGTTTGATCCCTGGGTTGGGAAGATTCCCTGAAGAAGGAAATGGTGACCCAGACCAGTATTCTCGCCTGGAGAATCCCATGGACAAAGGAGCCTGGCGGGCTGCAGTCCATAGGGTCTCAAAAGGGTCAGACATGACTTGGTGACTGAACAACAACAACATACCGTTTTTCTAGATTCCACATCTATGCGTTAATATGCAGTATTATGCAGTACTCATTGTCACCATCATCACTGTCGTCATCACCACCACCATCACATCTTCACCATCATCACCACCATCATCACATCTTCACCATCACCACCATCATCACATCTTCACCATTATCACCACCATCATCACATCTTCACCATCACCACCATCATCACATCTTCACCATCATCACCACCATCACCACCACCATCATCACCACCATCACATCTTCACCATCACCACCACCACCACCATCACCACCATCACCACCATCATTACACCATCACCATCATCACCACCATCACATCTTCACCATCACCACTGCCACCACCACCACCAGTACCGTCATGATCATTACCCCCTACTAGATAGACTCGGAGCTCCTTAAGGAGTGGGAACCCTTATCTTTTTTGGGAGGGACACAGTTTAGCCAGTAACAGCACATATCGTCTGTTCTGTATGATCCTTACAACAGACCTGCCAGTTGTGTAGTTAGCATGGTTTTCATCACAGAAACAGGGAAACTGCTGAGCAGCTGCGTTGCCCAGGATCACAAGGTTAGAATACGAAGCTGGGTCGTAAACCCAAGCCTTTCTGACCTCCGAGCTCCTGTTCCTTCTAGCAGTTTCTCAGTGGGGCCGTCCTGGCACTTTTGGAGCAGGACATCCCTTCGTCGTGCAGGGCCCGCCCACCATAGTGCACAGAGGCGGCCTCCCCAGCTCTGCCCACTGCGTGGCAGTGGGCGCCGGGAATCTCTGGGACCACCTACAAATGCCACGCGGACTCCCCAGGGCCCGACTCCCAGCCTGTGCTCCGCTCAGCACCCGCCTGCTGGCAGCTTCCTTTCTGCCGGCCACAGGGAAGGACCCTCGGGCCCTCTGGATGCCGGTGTCTAAGGGAACTGGAGTTGTTGTGCAGTTGGAACCAGAGGCCAGCAAGGATTCTCCAAGCAGGAATTGCAGGGGGATGCACAGCCCCACTTGCTCACAGCTGGGAGAGCTCAGAAGGACTGGGAGTTCGCAGACACTCTTCTTCCTCAGCCCGAGGTGGTGGGGGCTGGCTGGCAGTCCCCAAAGTGGGCCCCACCCACCTCGTGGCCCCGAGATGAACTCTGAGCCTTACTCTCCAGTTCAGCCTTTGCCATTGGAGACGGACAGATGGCACATCCATGCCCGTGGGGTCAGGTTTCCTGGCAGTGGGATTCTGCGCTGCCTGCTCCACCAACCTCATTGTTGAGAAAAGCGGGATCCTCTTACCCCCCGGGAGGCGTGGCCCAGGCGGAGGGTCAGGGAGGGAGAAGGGCCGTGGCGCCGCCTCGGGCGTGCGGGCGCCCCTGCAGAGACCTGGTTCCAGCCTCTGGCACAGTCAGTCCTCTTCCTATCCGAATGCTTTCACAGCGAGTAGGCAAAGTTTTGAGCCCCTGCTGATGGCTGTGCAGTAGAACATAACTTTAATTGCGGTCAGAAGTGGATTCGGCCTAGCCTTGTTTTCCTGGCTCATGGGCGGGTCTCACGGACGGGACCTGGGAGTTGCGACCAAGTCGCGTGTTCAGGTCCTAGCGGCGCTGTTCTGTTCTTGAAAAGTGTTCACGGTTGGTCTGCGGGAACCGTCTGTGCCATTTAACCTTTTCAAAAATTAACTTTCATGGCACCGGATACGATTTCTAAGTCAAACCCTTTTTCCTAGTTGCCTCCTTTATGGTTTGGGACGGGCGCTGTGGGTGTTTTTACAGTCGGGGCTGGGGCGCAGCCGCCGGTGCCCCGGGCTGTCCCGTCATCAGTGAAGTGAGGAAAGGAGACCTCTGTCTGTCCGCGAGACGGCAACGGAGAACCATCGGTGTAGAAATCCAGCCACGCTGTGATTTGCTCGAGCCGTGGTCCTCAGTCTGTTTCCTGCGTCAGCTGCGGTCACATCACCCTGACACTTGTGAGAAAGGCAGCTTTGTGGTCGGACCCAGGCCCACTGCATGGGACACTCTTCCCAGAAGGGGCAGGGTCATCCGTGTGTGTTTTAACAAGCAGGGAAGTTTGAGAAACTCTGTCCAAGTGAGAGAACCGCCCAAGGCAGTCGGTGATGGTGAGTGACGATCAGAAAACGCAGCTGGTCCCCGGAGTGAGAGCCGGGGCCCCGGAATCAGTGATTCCATCTGAGCTTTTCCCCTTTTATATTTGCCAAGGAGATAAGGGGGTCATGGTTTTCACCTTAAAGCCAGGGAGTCCAGAGCTCAGAGGAGCCCTCAGGATGGAATGGAGGCCCCTTGGGCATCTCTGACCACCTGCCCCGGGGGGTTCCTGCATTGCTAACCAGGGGTCTTGTCCTCTCCGCAGAAGTGCATTCGATTCAACCCAGATGCTACGGTGTGGGTTGCAAAGCAGCGGATTCTGTGCTCGCTGAACCAGAGCCTGAAGGACGTCCTGAACTACGGGCTGTTCCAGCCGGCCAGTGACGGGCGCGACGGCAAGTTCCTGGATGAGGAGCGGCTGCTGCGCGAGTACCCGCAGCCCACGGGCAAGGGCATCCCGTCCCTGGAGGTACTGCCACCTGCCCAGAGCCAGCGCGATAGGGCGGGGTAGGGGTGGGCATGCCTTCCCAGACTCCTGGTTTGACTCCTGTTTGGAAATCACTCTTAAATCAATAGTTTGCATTCGTGAGCTCACAGGTGATTCTGTCCTGGTCTGCAGACCAGGTGGTGCCCGTGGTAAAGAACCCGCCTGCCAGTGCAGGAGACGTAAGAGACTCGGGTTCGATCCCTGGGTGGGGAAGATCCCCTGGAGGAGGGCATGCAACCCACTCCAGTGTTCTTGCCTGGTGAATCCCATGGACAGAGGAATCTGGTGGGCTACAGTCCATGGGGTGGTGAAGAGTCGGACATGATTGAAACAACTTAGTAGGCGCACATGCAATGCGTAGCTGTTTGTTTTCTCACTGTGGATTGGACGGACTTGTTGGAGGGACGTCCTGCTGCAGGGATGTCTTGCTGTGAACGAACCGTGGGTCTGACTCAAGCTCATGTCCCCGGGAACTTTAAGTCTCAGGGTGCAGAGTGGGCTTTGCTTCTGCCCCACTGGGTCTCTCCCTGGCGCGGGTGACTGGTGGCCATCCAGCTGTAGTCAGAAGCTGAGTCTCGGGAGTGACCAGTGGGCTGTGAGCCCCTGTGGCCGGTCAGGTGCTCCTGGGTGGGTGGGCTGCCTCGTGACGTTCGGGGGGCATCCACTGGCCGTCTCACATCCACAGAAGGGGCGTCCCCAGACCCTGCCCCTGGGGAGCCGAGATTTACATATGGAATTTCCACATCATTTTTTAAATATTATTTAATTAAAATTTTTTTAAATTATTTAAAAAATTTTAAATTATTTAATTAAATTTTTTTTAATTACGAAAGTATGATAACACGTTTACAGGAGACTTGGAAAGTACAGAACAAAGTTACATACAGTTCCACAATGTGTTACAATTGTTTTTTAAGTAGATAAATTAAGATTTTTTAGTTGGAGTTTCAGTATCAAGCTCTCAAAAATTAACGGAATGGACAGGAAAGTAGAAGGATACCATAGACCTGAAAAGCACCACGACCCATTCAACATAATTAAGATTTATCCGGTTTTCACACGACAGCAGGATACAGAGTCTATTCAGGTTTTTTTAAACTGAGTTTTACTGAAGTATTGTTGATTTACGGTGCTGTGCTAATCTCGAGTGTACCGCAGAGTGAGTCGGTCATTCATTTACGTGTATCACCTTTTATGGAGTCTTCTCCCGTATCGGCCGTTACAGAGTGCTGAGTGACGTCCCCCCACCGTGCGGCAGGTCCTTGTTAGCGTCTGTTCTGTGTACAGTGGTGTGTGCACAGCGGTCTGTCCCTCAGTGGCCCCTCCACCCACACGGGGTATTAACACAGAGACACGAGTCGGAGGAGCGTGGACGTTTCTACAGGTGCCCCACGCGCCCCTCATTATCAAGCGATGGTGTTCGATTCTGCCTGGCCGACGGCGAGAGCCCGGGAGTGGCATCTGTGCCACGCCGAGGTCCCTGAAGTCAGAGAAGGCCGAGGCCGCACCTCACCTGCACGTTCCCAGGCATGATGGGGATGTCGAGGCTGAGGTTCTGCGATCCCCAGTGTGCCCTGGGCCAGGGAGAAGGTTTCCCACGGAGGAAAAGCTGACGTGCCTCTCGGGAGTCATGTGGGCCCCTGTCCCGGCCTCGGTTTGCATCTGTGAAGTGGGGATCCATTGAGCAACCCCTTGTTGGGGGCCTCCCTGCTCAGCACCAGCCCTTTCTCGACACGGGACAGTCAGGGTTCTGGTTTGATGAGGCTTACACTCTGTGGGAGGGGACAGGCCAGGAGCAGTAAACCCACAGCTCCTTTAGGGGCTGATAATTTCCATAAAGACAGTAAAACAGGTGGGAACAGGAAGTCCAGAGCCTACTCTTGATCGGAAAGCATCTTGAGGAAGGCTGGCCCATCCCACCCTCGCCCCAAAATCCCTGAACAGGAGGAAGCCGGGGAGAACCGGGGAGAACCAGGGAGAACCGGGGAGAACCGCGCAAGCAGAACCGCTGTCCTGGCTTCCAGAACAGCTGGCACACGTGTGCTTCTGACATCCTGCCTGGGGACCACGGGAACTGGGGCTGTGACCTCAGACAGCCTGGGTCCTGTCCTGGCCGCCGAGGGACCCTGCGTGTTCCCCACGCCCAGCCTTTCTGAGCCACAGGTTCCCAGCTGTGAAGGCAGGGGAGCCTTCGGGCCACCTTCTCCACGGCCGTGAGGCCCGGGTGGGCTGCTCCACGAAGCACCGCTCTGAGCACACAGCCTGGTGACGGGCGAACCCGAGTGGCGGTGCTGCAGCTGCCCCTGCCGTCCGCTCTCGTTGCCATGGAAGCATCACTCACACGTGCCTTCATTCATCTCCTTGGACCACCGTCCTGCCCGATGATCTGCTGGGCGGGGCTGAGCCAGGCCTGGCGGCGGACACAGCAGGGGCGGCGTGGGTCTGAGCCTTGGATCACTGCAGTAGGACAGGGTTGGCTACCTACGACACATGGAGAGAAGGGCGAGAAAAGGATTTGTGTTTCTGAGCCTGGGTCCCTCTGTAGCCACACGCTGCAAACGATTATGATTCTGGAAGCAGGACATCCTCCTGTAAGTGCTCACCCTCCTGCCGAGAGATGTTACTGACCCTACTGTGTTTTTTTATAACTGGAAGAAGCACCCAGTGCCTTGAAGTCCTACAGATCCATCAAGTTAGCAAACTGTGACAGTCTCTCACGTCACTCCCAGGGGCTTCCCAGGTGGCTCAGTGGTAAAGAATCTGCCTCCCAATGCAGGAGACGTGAGTTCGATCCCTGGGTCGGGAAGATCGTCTGGGGGAGGAAATGGCCACCCACTCCAGTATTCTTGGCAGGGAGCATCCCATGGACAGAGGAGCCTGGCGGGCTGCCGTCCGTGGGGCTGTGAAGGGTCAGACACGGCTGAGCAGAGGCACACGCACGCAGCCGCGTCCCCAGGGCCGCGGATGAAGACGGGTGGAGAAGACGAGCGTCCTCGTCTGGGATGAGGACAAGCAACAGGGAGGTTTCACGGCCGTACCCTGGACGCAGTGTCCCACTTGACTCTAGAACCAGGGGGCAGAGTCCTAAAACGGCCTGCGTCTCTTCCCACAAGGTCGGTTCAAGAGGATGGACGCTGACTGTTCTCAACAGCACACATGATCCAGGAACTGGGAGCTGCCTGCGTTTCACAGGATTTTCTGATTGCACTGGTTTATTTTGGCACCAAAAAAAAAAAAAAATAACAGGTTCCGATCTGTGGCACCAAGGAATGTGGTTTCTTACAGGATTGCTCTTCTGTTTGGAGTTGGGGGGTGGCCATAAGGGGGTTGCTCTGGAAATGTGAATGGAATCAGACCTTCAGAGTTAGCTCACCCCCGCTCTGAGCCTTCATGTCACGTCCGTGGTTATTTAAACTCCGCAGAGTGAGAGGGGGAATCAAAGGAATTGGGGGTGGGAAGGGTACAGTGTTTGCCCAGCACTGGTCCTGGGCCAGGAAGCTCACGTTCCTTCCCGGGGCGCCCTGGGAGCTTTGAGTGTGATCCCCGTGTGACTGACAAGGAAGCAGAGGCTCTGGTGAGGCAGGTGTTCAGCCCCGTGACTCAGCTGCTAGTGAAACAGGGCAGGACCATGTGCTCCTGACCCCCCATGTCCTCTGCCCACCTTTTGTCTGTGGAAGAACTTTACCCAGAGAATAAGTTTAATCACCCAGAGAATAAGTTTAATCAGACAAGGGAGAACATGCAGAAATAAAGGAAGATGTTCAAAGGAGACCAAGTCATAAAGGTTAGTCTCTAAGTGAAGTCAAGGACTTTTAGTTCTTCCTCAAGGACTGTAGATAATTCTCTGAGCCATGTCATGTCCCGGGAGCTGTCTTTTAGATCCTGAAACCCCCACCAGGTGGAAGAAGTTAACTCCACGGCGACCAGACTATAGCTGTGACATGCATCCTTGCACGTGTGCGTGCTAAGACTTCAGTCGTGTCTGACTCTTCATGACCCTGTCTGTAGCCCGCCAGGCTCCTCTGTCCATGGAGTTCTCCAGGCGAGAATACTGGAGTGGGTTACCACGCCCTCCTTCCCGACCCAGGGACCGAACTCACGTCTCTTACATCAGCTGCCCTGGCAGGCAGGTTCTGTACCACTTAGGCTGCCTGGGAAGCCCAGCTGGGATATAAGCTGCCACAGTTCCGGAAACTGGCCTCAAAGAAATGGGAACAAACCAACCTTGCAACTAAAGACGAGCTGTACCTAAAACAACCAAGACGATGCTGGTCAGACCACCGATGACCCATTTCAAGATGCCTGTCAGAGCCGACTGTGCCTGCAGCCCCCTCCCTCCGTCAGTGAAAGCTCTTGCCCAGTGACTGTTCAGGAGGGGAGTCAGCCTTTGAAGAGGCACTTGGCCCCCACTGCCAGTTGCCAGCATCCAAAATCAAATAAACTTCCCTTTCCACCAACCTGGCCTCCTGATTGGCTTTGAATGGCGAGCAGCTGGACCCCACTTTTGGTTACCCTGGGACAGTGGTGGGGCTGGAATTGGAGCCATGTTTCGACCTAGAAACTTAGTGACACCCAAGCAGCCAGCATCTTCCCAAACCCACCCTGGTGCATCTACTACAGAAGCATCCAGGGCACCTGGGAGAAGCGGGGGGCGTCAGGTGGGGTCACTGCGGATTCAGAAGCAGCCTGCAGCCCCGCCACGCACACCTGGGCACTGTCACTGCACCTGCCCAGGGTGTGCCCTCTGTTCCCCTGTCTCCTCCAGGTTAGCGGAGGCCCTGACATTTGAGGGAGTGAGGCTGAGCTCTGAGGTCCCAGGCGGAGACTGCGGGCTGGCGGCTCCACCAGGCTGGGGCTTCTGTTGTGGTTCAGTCGCTCAATTGTGTCCGACGTTATATGACCCCATGGACTGCAGCGTGCCAGGCCTCCCTGTCCTTCACTATCTCCTGGAGCCTGCTCAGACTCATGTCCGTTGAGTTGGTGATGGCATCGAACCATCTCATCCTCCGTCACCCCCTTCTTCTCCTGCTCTCAATCTTTCCCAGCATCAGGGTCTTTTCCAATGAGCTGGCTCTTCCCATCAGGTGGCCAAAGGACTGAAGCTTCAGCTTTAGCATCAGTCCTTCCAGTGGAATATGCAGGGTTGATTTCCTTTAGGATGGACTCGTTGGATCTCCTTGCTGTCCAAGGGACTCGCAAGAGTCTTTTCCAACACCACAAAAGCATCAATTCCTCGGCCTTCTAATGCTTGTTTAATAAAGGTGGCCGATGCTGGGGACATGGCCGATGTGAGAAGTAGGTCCCGGTTTGGTGCCTCGCTGACAGCGGGGAGACTGGCTCACTGGGAGAGGAGGCAGAGGACACCAGGCTCCCGGGTGCTTGTCCCTCCAATTGCTCTCGTTTCTCCCAGTGACTTTCCAGCAGCATCTCTGCAGAAGTTACTCATGCGCTGTCGCAGTCTCTGCGCTTCGAATACAAACGGTTTATTTAACACCACAGGGTTTGCTCGGGAGCCCCTGCCGTGGGTGAGACAGCCATGGAAGAGGCCAGCTTCCCCTCCCAGTGGCCAGCCGTGTGAAATGCTTACCTGGTTTTCTTTTCTTTTTCCCCCCGTTTCTTTGTGTCAGTTTCGCTACAAGAAGCGGGTGTATAGACAGACCAACCTAGACGAGAAACAGCTGGCCAAGCTGCACACGAAGGTAAGCGAGGAGTGTTGGTGTCGGCTCGTGGTGTCATTTCTGCGGCGGCGTCTCCAGAGATCAGCGCGGTTCTCAGACAGTGGTTCTTCTTCCCGGGAGATGTTGGGGCTGAAGGGACCCCTGCAGCCGCCAGAGCCCCGTTAGACACCGCCAACGTCTCCTCCCGTGGGAGGCAGGCTCGGTAGATGCCCGTGTAGAAGGGAAGTAATGTCACTGAGAGAGGAGACTGGGACCCTGCTTTCTACTCACCTCCCTCCGTGTTTCTGGAAGGAGGGGTGGCCGTTCCCTCTGAGCCATTGCTGCCCAGATTGGGGCCAGCACTGCAGTAGGTGTCTGCTGCTGCCGCCCTTGTGATTAAAGTGCTGTTTACATAAGCTGCTCAGAGGCCAGACGGCTGCTCGAGGGCGGCAGGGGAGAAGGAGAGGGTTAGCAAAGGTCCATGGGCTGTTCTGCAGGCACGGCTGTGCCCTGCCAGGGATGCTGTGTGTGTCCAGGGTGCGCTGGAGCGTGTGGCGGGCACCTCGCCCAGCACAGAGCACGCGGGGTGATGCCCAGGGATGCTCGGGGATGCCCTCCCCCCGCCCCGCCCCTCCCCAGGGAGCCCGGAGCATCTCCTGCGGAGCTCGGGCAAGGCCAGCGTCGGGTCGCTGCCTGACGGCCTCCCCGAGCCGGCCCTGACTCGCCCAGGTGAGCGCAGCTGGGGCCACGAGCACAGGGGGCCTCGCCGCCCTGCAGGGTGCCCTTGTTGTCTTTCGCCCCCATTCGTATCAGGAGGGATGTGAGGATCTTCGCTGTGTTCAGTGGGTTGTCGCCTGCCAGTTGTGATGTTCTTGTGCTCAAGCTGTCCAGACGCAGCTGGCGGCCCTTCCGCCTGGCTCTCCACACCCTTGGCGTGTCCCCACTGTGCTTTCAGCGCTGGCGGTTCTCAGGCACAGGACAGTCAGGCTGCCCTTGGGCTTTCTCTGCCCAGCCCTGGGACCCGCCTGCACGGGGGTGTTTAGACTCCAAGTGTGGGTCCTTTGGTTTTTTAATTACCCTCCAGCATGTAGATGAAAATGATGAAAATGTGTTTGTGCCTTTAAAATAACGTCGATTTGTAAATAGCAGTGAAGGTGTTCAGTGTAACCAAGTGTGTCCTCTGTCCTTGGATATTTGTGAATTTTTATTCCCCCGGTGTACAGAAAGCGTCCAGGTGGAGATTCAGCCTTTGTCCCTCGGCTGAAGGGTCCAGGGGCTTCGGGGTGTCTGGGAGGAGGGCTGTGGAGTGGAGGCGAAGGACTGGCCAGTGAGAGCCCTCGGTTCATCCGACAGAGCTGTCTCGGATTCCGTGGTTATGGTCAAACGGCTGGGCTGTCTGTCTGATGGACACATGATCGTTATTTCCCTGCAGGTATGGCTGGGCGGCCCCATCAGGGCTGAGTCCCCGGTAGTCTGGTCTCTTGAGTCGCTGCCTGACGGCCTCCCCGAGCCGGCCCTGACCTGCCCAGGTGAGCGCAGCTGGGGCCACGAGCACAGGGGGCCTCGCCGCCCTGCAGGGTGCCCTTGTTGTCTTTCGCCCCCATTCGTATCAGGAGGGACGTGAGGATCTTCGCTGTGTTCAGTGGGTTGTCGCCTGCCAGTTGTGATGTTCTTGTGCTCAAGCTGTCCAGACGCAGCTGGTGGCCCTTCCCCTGGCTCTCCACACCCTTGGCGTGTCCCCACTGTGCTTTCAGCGCTGGCGGTTCTCAGGCACAGGACAGTCAGGCTGCCCTTGGGCTTTCTCTGCCCAGCCCTGGGACCCGCCTGCACAGGGGTGTTTAGACTCCAAGTGTGGGTCCTTTGGTTTTTTAATTACCCTCCAGCATGTAGATGAAAATGATGAAAATGTGTTTGTGCCTTTAAAATAACGTCGATTTGTAAATAGCAGTGAAGGTGTTCAGTGTAACCGAGTGTGTCCTCTGTCCTTGGATATTTGTGAATTTTTATTCCCCCGGTGTACAGAAAGCGTCCAGGTGGAGATTCAGCCTGTGTCCCTCGACTGAAGGGTCCAGGGGCTTCGGGGTGTCTGGGAGGAGGGCTGTGGAGTGGAGGCGGAGGACTGGCCAGTGAGAGCCCTCGGTTCATCCGACAGAGCTGTCTCGGATTCCATGGTTACGGTCAAACGGCCGGGCTGTCTGTCTGATGGACACATGATCGTTATTTCCCTGCAGGTATGGCTGGGCGGCCCCATCAGGGCTGAGTCCCCGGTAGTCTGGTCTCTTGAGGAGTGACGGTCTCTTTCACCTTGACTTGCTTGCATTAAGCCGAGCGAGCTGTGCCCTTTTGCTCCCCGTTGAGCCTGCCGCTTTAGAGATTAAGAAGCACAAATACCAATCCCTGGGCCTCAGTCACCAGGGATGAAGTCAGAAGACCTGGGGTGCGCCCTGGAAAGTGTTGTTTTCAAAGTGGTTCAGGATGTTCAGCCTTTTGAAAGTGAAGAAATGTCCTGCGACTCTAGGCAAGGACAGGAATCGGTGGAGATGGTTTCTAGAACATTCATCCAGGGTGGGCTAATGGCATTTTCCATGTACTGGGCTCTGAGCTTGGCCCTGGGGTTCCAGGCACAGGACAATGCTACCCCATGAGCCTAGGGTCTGCAGTGGGGCCCCTTCAAGGGGTAGCTCTCCTCCCTGGAGAGGAGGCCAGCGTGCATCCCACAAGGAGCCTTCCCGTGGTCTGTAGAGACGTTTCTCCATAAAACCACTTTTACTTTTCTCTCCAGACCAATTTGAAAAAATGCATGGATCACATCCAGCATCGGTCAGTGGAGAAAATTGTCAAGATGCTGGACCGAGGCCTGGATCCGAATTTCCACGACCTGGAGACCGGAGGTAGGGCTGGTTGGAGAGACTTTGGGAAGGCCCCCTGAAGCGTGGGTTCAGGGAGAGGAGATGATGCTCTTGTTGAGACTCCACGTGCACCCACAGCATCACCCTTCACTGGGTCTTAAACGCGCTTTCTGCCTGCTCCCAGGGCCCGTGTTGTACCCAGAGTTGCCAGCAGTTGGCCAGCGCCTAGCAGGTGGTAGGAGCTCCGTAGGGACCTGAGCTGAATGAGTGAATGAACGCGTAACAGAGCTGTGTCTCCCTCCCTGAAGACAGGCGCCCACTCGCAGGTGTCTAGCTCCCGCAGCTGGAAACCGAGTCTCTAAGTGTGGGGCCTCGGATCACGTGTGGTCGAGAAGAGTACAGGCCGCCATCCTCTGGCCAACTGACCTTGTGGCTGGACGAGCCTTTCTGTTTTTCTTACCAGTTCCAAATGGGCACTTTTATTGAATCTTCTCTTTGCTCTTTTGGTTTCCGGTTTTATGGCTAAGCAGTTGACACAAACCTTGCCTTAATTTCCGGTGTGCAGCTAACGACTTGGTTTGTGGGTGCCCTGGGGAGTGACCACTGAAACACGTCTAGTTAACATCCAGCCCCACCCAGAGTTCCGCTTTTTTAAAAATTTTCTTAGGATGAGAAATTTTAGGAGCTACTCTCTCTTGTTCAGTTGCTCAGTCATGTCCAGCTCTTTTGCGACCGCATGGACTGTAGCCCTCCAGGCTCCTCTGTCCATGGGATTCTCCAGGCAAGATGCTGGAGTGCGTTGCCATTTCCTTCTCCAGGGGATCTTCCTAACCCAGGGCTCGAACCTGCTTCTGCTTCGTTGTCAGGAGATTCTTTACCACTGAGCCACCAGGGAAAACCCATCTGCTTTCTTAGGCACTTTAAATATGCAGAGTATTTTTTTTTTTGCCGAGCCGCACAATGCCATGTGGCATGTGAGATCTTAGTTCCCCAACCAGGGGTCCAGTCTTTGTCCTCTCCGTGGGCAGTGCAGAGTCCAGACCACTGGCCCTCAGGAGCCTCCTGGCAACATGGCATGATTAACTGTAGACCCCATGCTGCCCACGACATCCGTGGGGCTTACTTATCTTACAGCTGGAGGTCTGGGCCCTTAGCTGCCCTCCACCTGTTCTGCCCACCCCTGCATCCTGCCCGGGGTGGCCACGGAAAAAAAAAAAACATTCTGTTTTCTGTTTCTGTGAGTTCCGTTGTTTTAGACTCCACATGTCAGTGAGATCGTTCAGTGTTTGTCTTTCTCCGTCTGACTTATTTCAGCATAGCGTCACACCCTCACGGTCCGTCTGCATCCTTGCAAATAGTGGGGTTTCCTTCTTTTTCATGGCTGAATAGTATTCCACCACGGGGCCAGGCAGTTCTTCATGCTGGGGGCTGTCTGTGCACCGTGGGAGTGTTTACAGCTTCCTTGGCTTTCACCCATGAATGCCAGGAACACCCCAACCAGCTGTGGCCACCAAAGATACCTCCAGACGTTACGCAGTGTCCCCTGGGGGAAGGCATCGTCACCCCAGGGAGAGCCCTGTGCCCACGGGACACGTGAACTCAACCAGCGGAAGTGAGGCTGTTGTGAGAGCCGGGAGCAGCTCTGGTGAGGGTCTCCATGGCAACTTAGGGCTTCCCCCCCTCCCCCCAGCAGGTGGGTGATGCTGAGCAGAGAGTGTTCATCTTGGACTCAGCAAGCAGGGACTCCCTCCCCTCCCCTCCTGGGATGGGGCAGCCTGCCCACCCCATGTCAACGTCACATACACATGTGGCCCTCACAGTTCCTGAACCACCAGCAGGTGTGTTTGTCAGCTGAGGAAGGGAGCTCTCTCATCACTGTGGGGGCTCCTCTGGCCCCTAACGTGGGGGCAGGACCCACCCCTGTGCTCCTCCGGCCGTGTCGGTCCCCATCCACGCAGAGGTGGCCGTGCTGGGACCACTGTCAACTCCTGTCCCCGAAATCTAGCCGCGCCGTGTGAGAGCAGGGCTGCTGGCTCATCAGTGACGCACCTGCAGTGCCCGAGGTGCCAGGGGACAGGACAGTGTGAGTGGGTACTTGGAGGGGTCAGGAGATCGCAGGCCTCGAGGGCGTGAGTGCAGAGACCTGGCTGAAGGTGAGCAGCTTACCAGCCCAGTGGACGTGGTGAGACGGCGAATCCGGGAGTCTGTGTGCTGGGGCTGGGGGGTGACATGGACAAGCCGGGCTCCTGGCTGTCCTGATGGCTGATGTGGGCACGAGGCTGAGGAGGCTTCTGTGGGTGGGGACCCCTGGAGGAGGAAGCTGTGCCATGCCTGCTGGGGCCTGACCTTCCAAGGGCAGAGGTGGTGAGGTAAGGCCCTAGGGCTGGGGAGAAGGGCGTGTCCCAGGCGGCAGGTGTGGGGCGGTGCGGGGGGGTGGCCGCTGTGAAGAGTCTGGTTGGGGAGCAGGGGGGAGGCAGGGGCGGGCACTAGAGGTTCTGATTCCCTGGGTCTGAGCACCAGGCTGGAGTTGAGGGGCAGGCAGTGAGCACGTGCTGGTTCTGGCCCCGTGGTGAGCGGCCTGCTCCTGTGGGCCTGGCCACCTAGGCTGGTGCCCAGTTCATGGTGGGGTGGGGGGAGTTCTGTCCATCATGGTGACGTGGTTCCTGGCACTGAGGCTTGGACCACAGACGGGTCCGTGGGTTCTTGAGCGTGAACCTGAGCCTCCAAGGACAGTCACAGACCTGAGCCGGGCCTGGAGTCTGTGGTCCCTGACCTGGCTTCTCTCCTTGGGTGGCCTTTGGCCTGGGGCCCTCCTGACCTGGCTGCATCCATGGCTGTTTCCTGATGGTTCTTCTGGGCTGAGCACCACGCCTTCCCACTGGCTCCTTCCGACTGTGAACCAAGCCTGCCAGCGTCTCGGGGTTCCAAGAGTTTGAAATGACTCTTATTCCAGAGCTGACCCTAATGGAGCTTCTAACTATACGTCAGCATAGACCCCCAGGTTGCTTCCAAACGGGGGTCAGTGGGCATTCGCTTGGCCTCCCGCTGGAGTTAAAAATGCTGCCCTTGGCCTTCGCTGGTGGTCCAGCAGTTAAGAATCTGCCTGCCAATGCGGGGGACACAGGTTCGATCCCCGTTCTGGGAAGACTCCACATGCTGCGGAGCAACTAAGCCCATGAGCCACAGCTACTGAAGCCTCTGTGCCCTGGAGCCTGTGCTCTGTGATGAGAGAGGCCACTGCATTGAGAAGCCCCCACTCCAGAGCTGGAGAAAGCCCACGCACAGCAACGGAGACCCAGCGCAGCCAGAGATAAATAAAGGTTAGAAAAAGCAGCCAAACCGAAAAAAAAAACGCTGTCCTTGTTGTGATGGACGGAGTCATCGCAGGAACAGGTGCAGCGGAGCCACAGGCACCCAGGAAGGAGGAAGACAGAGGAGGATGTTCCTTACTGTCCCCCGAAATTGAAATAGACTTGACCCGCCGGTCGCAACCCGCAGAGAAGGTTGCATTTGGTCAAATAAACGCTGCGGTTTCCTGACCCAGCCCCGTAATGACGGCCTCTGGACTCACCGAGCCAGTTCTGTGAAACCCGTCTTCCCCCAAATCCACGTGAACTAGCGCCTGCCAGGGCAGAGGCTCGAGGGCAGGAGGCTCCAGCAAAGGCTGAGACCAGGCCTCCCGCCTGCAGGGGCGGAGCAGGGCCAGGGCCCCCGTCCTGGGCAGACGGTCCTGTTCCAGGACGTTCCAGGGTCTCACCCAATAATTAACAGTCATCAGAGGGTTTGGGTTGGTGGTTTCTGGGGGTGAGTCTGGGTAGATAAATTATAATTTTTTATTTATTTTCACTTTTAACATTTAAAGCAGAATTATTCAACAGCTCTCACGTGGAGGCTGCCAAATGGTAATTTTCTTCATCAGTTTTACTTTTTGTAACTACTAGTCTCTGTACGGCAGAACTTTCGCTTTCCCCTGAAAGTGAGAGTGTCAGTTGCTCAGTCCTGTCCCACTCTCTGCCGTCCCCTGGACCGTAGCCTGCTAGGCTCCTCTGTCCGTGGGATTCTCCAGGCAAGAAGACTGGCGTGGGTTGCCATGCCCTTCTCCAGGGGAGCTCCCCAACCCAGGAATCGAACCCGAGTCTCCTACATTGCAAGCAGATTCTTTACTCTCCGAGCCACCTTCGACGCGGTTTTTTTAGAGTGGTTTTAGGTTTACAGAAAACTGAATGGAAGGAACAGGGGTTCTGTATAACCACCCACCTCCCAGGCTTCTCCACGCGAACGTCTGACATCGTGTGGCCAGGGACACCCTGATGAGCCAGGGTTGATGCGTTAGTGTTAACTCAGATCCACTCTTACACTCGGGCTGCCTCGGCATTGTGCATTCTGTAAGGACAGATTCTGTGCAAACGTGTAAGGACACGTATCCACCATCAAGCAGAGTTGAGTTTTATTTCCCGAGAAACCCTCTGTGCTCTGCCTGTCCCCCCCTCCCACTAACCCCTGGCAACCACTGTTCTTTTTACTGACTCCATAGTTTGGCTTTTTGCAGAATGTCATGTCCTTGGAATCACAGAGTGTGTGGCCTTTGCAGACTGGCTTCTTTCACTTAGTCACAGGCATTTGCATTTCACCCGTGTCTTTTCATGGTTTGATAGCTCATTTTTTTTTATTATAGTCGATTTACAATGTTGTGCCAAACTCTGCTCTCCAGCGAAGTGACTCAGTTTTACACATATAGACATTCTTTTTTTATATTCTTTTACCATTATGGCTTATCCCAAGATATCGAACACAGCGATAGTTCCCTGCGCTGTTACAGTAGGACCTTGTTCTCCTGTCCTGTATGTGATCGTTTTCCTCTGCCAGTCCCACACTCCCGGTCCTTGCCTCCCTCGTTTGTGCCTTTTTAGTTCCAAAGAGTATTCCACTGTCTGCATGCACCACAGTTTTTATCCATCTACCTACAAAAGAGCACCTTGGTGGCTTACAAGTGTTAGTGATGAAAGTTGCTATAAACATCCGTGCAGGTTTCTGTGTGGACA